TCAAGTTTAGACAAAATAGTTGTATGGTGCTAATGGCAGAAATTATATTGCAAAAGGATCTTTTCTAAAAGAGAGAGAGTTTATAAAAAGTGAAATTCTGACAATGAAAAAAGTGTTAATCTGATAACAAAGAAAGTGGCATCTTAAAAATCCAATATAGTTGTGTAAGGCGTGCTGTGATAACTTCAGAATTTTAAGAGACTTAAAAAAAAAAAAGGAAAGAAAAGCAATGTGAACAAGGATGAATACAAAAGAATGGCGTGAAATGAGAATCACGTAAGTAATGTAGAGCCCAGAATGAGCGGAGGCTGGTAAAAAATGCTAAGAACAATAAAAAAGATTTAAAAAAATACATGTAGAGCAAGAAGAACAGGAAAGAAGGTTTAGGCCCACTGCTTGGGGCAGATGGTATAATGTTAACAGATGATGCAGAGAAAGTAAAACTACTTAACTCCTATTTTGTTTTTCATTCCCTATTAAGGAGAAATAGTCACAATGGAAAGGGACATAAGAAACATGCTCAGAGGACTCTTAAAACATCTTATTGTATCTGGACAGGCTTCATTAAGCAGGTGAGATCTGAGCTGTCCCTAAAGAATAATACTGGGAAAACAGAACATACTAAATACAAAGAATAGATTGGGAAAGGATGGAAGTAAAGTAGAAGGTAGAAGTTTTCTAAATATTATATTTCATCAGTTTTAGGACACAGTATCTTTTGTACATTTTAAGATCTCTGAAATTGGAATTCATCTTAAAATACATGATAAAAAATTTTTCTGTCATTCTTATCTGGCACCACTTTTTCCTTCTTAGAAGTATTCAAAATAATGGTGTGTCTTACAGCTCTGGCTGGGTGGCTGACCTGATCAGAGCACTGTCCTGTGCACCAAAAGTGGTGGGTTCGATTACCAGTCAGGGCACATATCTAGGTTGCTGTTCAAACCCCAATCGGGGTGCATGAGGGAGGTAACCAATCAATGTATCTATCTCACATTGATGTTACCCTCTCTCTCGCTTTTTCCATTCTCAAAAAACAAAAATCAATATTAAAAAATCTTCAAATGAGGATTAAAGGGTAATGGTGTATTTACAATTGATGGTAACTTATATTTTATTTCCTAAGGTTCTATAGTCAGAGGAAAAATCAAGGATCCTAAGTCCTAATTAATCAGCTCATGAATATTTAAAGACCAAATTTAAGTTTAAATTTCTCTGAAGCTTATAATAACCTAAAACAAGTTACCTTCTAAATTCATTTTGGAATCTACTCTTTTATCTTCTCTTTCATTCTCTACCTGGCCCTTGCTTCTCTCTAGTCTTTTCTCCTAACTTCTGTCTACTATCCTTACTTCTCTCTCTTTCCTCCTGATTCCTTCTCATTTCTATTGCTTCTTCCCTTCAAATTGTTTTTTAATATATTTTATTGATTATGTAATGATTATTATAGTTGTCCCAATTTTTCCCCCTTTGCCCCCTCCACCCAGTACCCCCTATTGCCTCTGGCAATCCCCATTCCTTAGTTCACATCCATGGGTCATGCATAAAAGTTCTTTGGCTACTCCATTTCCTATACTGTTCTTAACATGCCCCTGTCTATTTTGTACCGACCAATTTTAATGAACAAATTTAATTGTTCGTTAAATTGTTGAAAAATAAGTTTTGTACAAACTAGCAAAAAAACAAACCTATACATAAAATTCAGGGCTGATGTGAATAAAAACTAAGCAAATACCCACATCTAATAGCAGTTTCAAGCACACTCTTTTAATGACATACATAAATCTTTTGTGCCAGATAGAAATCAATAGAGTAGATATATATTTAAAATCAGTAAACACTTTCACCATAACAATTACCTTAAGAAAATCAAGTGATTTTTTAAAATTGATTTTTAGAGAGGGAGAGAGGGAGGGAGAAAAAGAGAGAGAGGGAGAGAGATCAATTTGTTGTTCCACTTATTTATGCATTCATTGGTTGCTGCTTGTATGTGCTCTGACCAGGAATTGAACCTGCAACCTTGGCATATAGGGATGATGTGCTAACTAACTGAACTACCCAGCAGGGCCATATGTCATTTTTAATGATACTTTAAGTGAAGACTGTAAAACAATTCAAGTCATAATAATCTTATTGACATTAATGTTCTTAGGACCATTCAATAAACACTGAATCTTGCTGAGCACTAGGTATTTTGGGATACACAAATAGCAGTGACATAGTCCCTGAGCTTTAGGCCTATAAATGAGTTAGGAAGCAGTAAAATTTTATATATATATATATATATATATATATTTGGACTTCTATATATAAATAGACTTCTCTCTCTCTCATTGAGAATTTCTATCTAGATCTCAAATCAATCTGTTTTTCTCTACCTCCGCCATCTCTGTAACCCCTCCTAAATGATCTCTTGTATTCACCTCATTCTATCCCAGTCTATTAACTATACTGCAACTATAGAAACCTTTTTGAAATGCAAGAGAACAAGAGATGCATTCTTTGGAGAAAAAGACTCTAGATTTAGAAATACCAGGCACAAGGCTAAAAGAAAGGATTTATATGAAAGCCTGTACTGAACAATAAAAGCCCAACAGCCTTCACCTAACCTGCTTCAATAACTGAAAAATAAGTATTTACTTGCCCTACAGGGAGAATGAGGATTCTTCTTTAGATAACTAAACTAAAACCACCTCTGGATACCGATATTTGGAGGTTCTTCCAAAGAAAATGCCAGCTTGCCAAAGCACCTTTAAGTAGAGTCTGCCAGCAGACAAGCAATTGGTTCTTTAGTATCTCAGAAGGGCAGAAGTTATATCCAAAGACAAAATCCTAGGCAAAAAAGGAAGCAAGAAAAAACTCTTGAAAGATAATATAATACCAGAAATAAAGAATTCAGTAGAACTGCAGATAAAGCTGAGAAAATCTCCCAGAAAGTAGAAGAGAAAAATTAAACAAGCAATCCAAGAATCTCAATATCCAATAGAATAAGAATCTGCAAACTTTTGCAGCCAAGGGCCAGAGAGTAAATAGTTCAGGCTTTGCCGTCCATATGGCCTCTGTTGCAACCACTCAGCTCTGCTGTTGTAGTGTGAAAGCAGCCAAAGACAATGTGTAAACAAATGGGGCAGATAGCAGGCCAGATTTGGTCTGTGAGCCACGGTTTGCTGATTCTTGCAAAAAAATATTTTAAAAGGAAAAAAAAAGAACAAAGGGAAAATACAAAGGAATTAACTATCAAATAAATATCTTAAGAAAATTTCCCAGAACTAAATAACATGACTTTTTACAGTGAAAGGGTCCAACACACACACACACACACACACACACACACACACCCCGCCCCCCCAATTTCAGAATACCAGGGATAAAAAGAGCACAAAGAGTTCTGAAGTGGAAAAAATGGTTCTAAACAAAGACTGGGAAATCACATGATAACACTTAAAATTTTTTTATTTTTCAGGTGCAGTTTACATTTAACATTATTTTGTATTAGTTTCAGGTGTACAGCATAGTGGTTAGACAATCATGTACTTTACAAAGTGTTTCCCTGATACTTCCAGTATCCCCCTGGCACCATGCAGTTATTTCAATATTATTGACTGTATTCCCTGTGCTGAACTTTACATCCCTGTGACCATTCTGTAGATACCAATTTGTACTTCTTAATTCCATCACCTTTTTCACCCAGTCCTCCAATCCCCCTCTCTTCTGGCAGCCATGAGTCTGTTCTCTGGATGTCTAAGTCTGTTTCCTTTATTATTTTTTTAATTGAATTGATCAGTGTGACAAGTTTCAGAATATCAGCTATGTAACAAGCCTAGGAAATAAGTCCAGGCTGAAACTGGGAAAGAAGGGCGTCAGAAGAAAGTCTTCAGGAGAAAGCATAGAAGTGATGTATTTGAGCACATGAAAAATATTATTGATGTATGTAGCAGAGATGTGCAGCATTTAGGGGGGAAAAACCTACAAATATACAGAAATCCAGGCATAAAAAGTGAGGCAATTATTAACTTCAAAAAAAAAAGAGGCTGTGCTATATTTCACTAACTTGGCTTAGCAAGACACTTTATCTTTATAATCAAATAATGAGATATTAATAACTAATTTAACAAAAAGTTATATGTAATCATATAAGGGGAAGGGAAGTAAAAGAGGAAGGTGGAAAAGTTAGGTCTCCACCTATTATGGCAAAAAGTGAAGAGATCATGTCTACACCTGATTACGAAATACCTGTCTACACACAGAGTGTAGGAATAAAGAGCTAAAAACCAGAGGGAATGACCAAAAGGATTAAAAGTGGTTTCTTTCAAGTAGGACTTGAAGATGGCTCAAGTTAGGGTTTTATAAGCCTTTTAATTTTATTTGGCTTTTAACTATATACATATGTGATTTTTAAAAATTAATTAAAAACAATTAAAATTTATTTATTAAAAAGCCAATAAGTAGCAAAGAATAATTGCAACATTGCGTTAATTCAACAATAGTACAAAAGATCAGTATCTTCAAACTAAAAGGAATTCTTGCAAAAGACAGCAACATAATATTATATATGCAAGGGGCATGAACAGGCAACTTTTGTAAATTTACAAATGAAATACTACCATCCAAAATGTGTATTAAAAAAACCTTTCACATATGAAAACAATAAAAGAAAAAAATCCAGATTAAAACAAAAAGAAAGCAACATTATTTTAATCTACTAATTAGCAAAATGAGAGAAATAGGTAGTATTAATATTGGTAGGTTTTTGGAATATGCCTGATTGTGAGAATGTAAGTTGATATATCATTTCTGGAGGAAATTTTAGTAATATGAACCAAAATTTTAAAAATATGTCTGGAATTTGATTCAGTAATTCCTGAAATGAATTCCTGGTAAAAATGAATCCTTAAGAAAATAGTTATAAATATGCACAAAAGGATTCAGCTACAGGGGTATTCATTTTAGCAAAATTTTCTGAAGTCTTTTTCATATTGATTTACTAGAAACAGCCTTACCTGAACTGTACGCCCCGCATTGATATGCTCTTCATGCAGCTTGTCCCAGATTCTGCATCTCTGATACTACACAAAAGAGAGGGGAAAGGTACTAATTTTTTAATCACTAAAGTGATTATTTCTGGTTACCACAAAAACCCCCCAGTCACCTACCCAAACTTAAACATACCAGCTAAAAAAGTTATTGACTTAGCAATGGCAGTTAACTATCCAAAGACCATATAGATAAGACTTTTTTTCCAAAAACATTACATACAAAATTCTGGCAAATGATAAATGGTAAAACAAAAATCACTAGACTCTATTTATTTTATTGAGAGTATAAACTTTGCCTATTTTTTTTAATCTCCAAAGCTTTTGCAACATAAAGAACGAGAGTGTAAAAGAATGTAAAAAATAAGATTAATGGCATTAATCAGATATTCTTACTACACATGAAGAATTCTGTCAATGATAGCGTTAGGTACTGAAAATTAAAATCTGATTTTGAGGAAAAGTAACATTGACATTGTAAATAGAAAATATGTATAAATGAGACTGAGCCCTTAATATCTGTTTCATTTTTAACCAGGGCAATGTTTAGCTTTTAGAGTTTCATCCAAGAAACGTTATGAGCATAATAATGGTAAATGTTTCACTTGACAGGAACCATAACAAAATGTGTTAGATAACATTAGAGTAGAATATTATACAGAACAGAAACATCAACACCAAACATTACATATTATTTTTGGTTGAAAGAAAAAATCCAAAAATTAGCCCTGGCTGATATGGCTCAGTGGATTGAGTGCCAGTCTGCAAACCGAAGGATAACACGTTTGATTCCTAGCCTACGGCACATTCCTGGGTTGCAGACCAGATCCCCAGTAGGGGGCGCACGAGAGGCAACCACACATTGATGTTTCTCTCCCTCTCTCCCTCCCTTCCCCTCTCTAAAAATAAATAAAAATCTTCTAAAAAAAATCCAAATAATTAACATGTCAGCAGATATGAATAATGACATTATGTACATTTTGTTATACTACACTTCAAAAAAATGAAATGAAATTAAACTAACCTAGAAATATTTAAAAAGATAGAAACATGGAAATGTCTCATATGTGCATGGAAGGTATTAACAGATTATAAAAGTAGAGCTCTAAAAGAAATTTCTATGGCATTTTTATATTCCTTATTCTGCATATTCTTTAAATTTGATAGTGAATAATGCAGCAAACAAAAAAAAAACCTCTTGATACTCCAAAAATTTTTTTATATCCCCTAAGGACTAAAAAATAACTAATAAGCTTAAAAATAACTATATTAAAAATATATTTACCAAATATAAATTTAAAACCACTATCAAAAAATTTAATTTATAGGAAAAATTAAATTATCATCAGATCCAGTATGAATGCCCTTTAGATGTTATGATATTAATAAAAAGATGAGAATGGAAACCAAAGATACATGTTTAAAAGTAAATTGCTTTTAAATGTATTAATACTATTCTGACATGATATTTTAAGAAAACTTAACGTTAAGGAAACAGAGTTGAGAATTCAGGGAGGCCAGAGCTGCTAGAACTCATGGGGCAGAACATCGGAGAGGCGAGGACTATCCTAAAAGAGCACTCTGGAGATCTGTATGGTTCTCCTTTCAAGTCTCAGCCAAATACAGATCAGCACCTGCACACTAGGACACTACCTGAGGTCAAGAAAAGAACCACTGAAAAGCAACAGATGAACACATCCCTAAAGATTACACAAGGTGAGAAACAGTTCATGTGACCACAAGTCAGACCAGAAAAACCTTGCAACACACTGGATTTTAGGTAGAATACTCCAAACTATTGCCCCTTTATGGTAAAAAATTAGCCCTATAACAAAAGCTGTTCTGATTCTACCCAAGAAAGTTTAAAAGAAAACCTCAAAAAGATCAAACTATTCTCAAATAAGTTAAATGTGTTTCAGAATAAGGCTAAAAAATACAAAGGGTACTTAAAAATATTCGGTATCCATCAAGGTAAGGTACACAATGTTTGTCATCCAATAAACAACTACCATGCATGCAAAAAAACAAACAGGAAAGTATGATCTGTAATGAGAAAACTTAATCAACAAAAACAGGCTCAGGTATGATAGAAATAATGGAATTAATGAAGATGATATTAAAATATATTATGATGTATTCCATGTATTGAAGAAAGTAAAAGAAAACATGAACATACTGAGTGAGACATGAAAGAAAAGATTAGTACATTTAAAGACACAGCAATAAAAATAATCCAAAATGAAACAGAGAGAAATAAGATGGACAATAAATGAACAGTGAATCCATTGTTGCTCAGCCATGGGCCAACTGAAAGCAACACAATACATATGTAATTGGACTTCCTGAAGGAGATGAGAGCACAGGAAAAAATGTTTGAAAAACTAATGGCCAAAGCTTTTACAAGTCTAATAAAAAAAAATACTATAAACCCATAGGCCCAAGAAATTCAACAAATACCATAAAAAAGAAAAATGAAGAAAACTATACTAATGAACATCATCATAACAATACTTAAAATAAGTGATAGAAAAATCTTAAAAGTAGTCAGAGGAAAGAAATACACATGAAGTACAGAGGAACAAAGATAAGAATGATAGATGATTTCTCATGAGAAACAATGTAAGCCAGAAGATAGTGAAGCAACATCTTGAAAGTACTGAAAAACAAATCTAAAACTCAACCTAAAATTCCATACCCAAAGAAAATTTTTTTAAAGGCAAAATATTTTTTTGCAAACATAAATAAGATTACAGAATTCATTACCAGCAGGCTTGTACTATAAAAAGTGTTAAAGGAAGTCCTTTAAGCTATTAGAAAAAAATGATACCTGGTAAAAAACCTGGTTCTACATAGAGGAATTAAAGGAATACTGAACCCTGGCTGGGTGGCTCAGTTAGTTGGAGCATCTTCTCATACACCAAAAAGGTTGTGGGTTCGATCCCCTCATCAGAGCACATACATAGGTTGCAGTTCAATCGCCAGTCAGGGAACATACAGGAGGCAGCTGATGGATGTTTCTCTCTCACATTGACGTTTCTCTTTCCCTCCCCGTCCCTTCCTCTCTCTCTAAAATCAATACACATATCCTTGGATGAGGATTATAAAAAATGGTGAGGGAAAAAACAAACAAGTGCTGAAAATGGTAAAGACATAGGTAAACATAAAATGTGGTTTTTTTCTTATTTTCAAAATCTCTTTGAAAGATAACACTGTTTAAAACAAAAACAACAATAATATATTAGGGGGTTAGTAACTTATATAGAAGTAAAATATATAAATATAACACTACAAAGACCCAGAGAGAGAGGAAATAAAAGTAGATTGTTATAAGGTTCTTTCTTTTTAAACACTTTATTTATTTATTTTTTAGAGAGAGGGAAAAGGAGGAGAAACAGAGGGAGAGAAACATCGATAGGCTGCCTCTTGGCACACTTCCTGACTGGCGATCAGCCCACAACCCAGGCATGTGCTCTGACCGGGAACTGAACCCGTGACCATTCCACTTTGTGGAACGACGCCCAACCAACTGAGCCACAACAGTCAGGGCTAAAGTTCTTATAATATACTGAAGTTATATATAAAATCATTATTGGATAGTACAGTATGATAAGTCAAAGATGAATACTCTGAATTATAAAGCAACACCTAAAAAATAAAAATAAAAAACAAAGAGGAATAGTAAGTGAACAAAAGAGGAAAAAAATGGAAGTCTAAAAAATATGCAATTAACTCAAAAGAAAGGGTTAAAAGGAGAAAAAGGGGACAAAGAAAAGATGGGATAAATAGATAAAAATAGGAAGATGGTAGCCCTGATTGGTGTGGCTTAATGGGTTAGGCGTTCTCCAGCAAACAGAAAGGTCGCTGGTTCGATTACTGGTCAAGGCACATACCTGGGTTGTAGGTTCAATCCCCAGGAAGGGTGCATGCAAGAGGCAACTGATCGATTATGTTCTTCTCATGCATCTATGTTTCTCTCCCTCTCTTTCTCCCTCCCTTCCCCTCTCTCTAAAAATAAATAAAATCTTTTTTTTTTTAAAAAAGGGAGACGGTATATTTAAAGGCAACCATTTGACAAATGTCTGTTCATTATAAAAAGTCTCAACAAACTGAAAATAGAAGTTAATGTCCTTGACATGACAGAAACAGCTACAAAAACCCTGCTTAGTAGTGAAAGACTGTTTGATAATCTTAGGAACAAGGTAAGAATGTCCGGTTCCACCACCCCTATTAAACATCACACTGGAGGCCCCAACCAGTGCAATAAGGTGAGGGAAAAGGAGAGAGGGGCTGGGAGTAGAGGAGAGAATTGAAGAGACAGAGAGAGTGGGAGAGACAAAGAGAGAGAGAGGAGGGGAAACGGGGGAAGAAAGAGAGGGGAGAGAAAGAACAAAGAAGGAAGGGGAGGGGAGAGAAAGAAAAAGTTTAAGAAAAATAAAGAAAAGAAAAAAGAGAGAAAGGTGGAAAAGAGGGAGGGAAAAAAAAAAGAAAAGTTTGTCTTCAGAGATGACATGATTGTCTACATAGAAAATAACAAAGCTATTCTATACTACAGATGGCCCAATGACTACAAGCCATAAGCTGAGGATTACTCATGTAATGAAGATAAACAATACCTATCCCAATGTAAAGGTTAAAGTGATTCAGCTCACAGTGCCTATGAAATATCAAAAATAAAAAACCCAAAACAACACTAAGGATATGTCCCAGGAATGGTGTGAATCTCCTAATGCCTTAGAAACTATTAATTGTACCTTTGCTGAGTACCAGGGTAGGCTAACTTACATAAGTAACCCATTTCTAAATATCAGCCTTGCAGTTAGGAGTTTTTCACATATCTTAATTCTCACAATAACCCTATGAAGAAGATTTTAATTTTACCTTTAAAACTCTCTAAAAATCATAGGCATTTGCAGCTTTTTCCTGAATGGTTAAATTGGTGCACATTAAATCTGTGCACCTCAAGGTCCACTGACTACACAGTGCCATGTGAAGATGCTATGTTTATGCCTGACTGGGATGGAATCTATCAGGGC